AAAAAAAAAAAAAATAGACGCTGCGGGGTGGATGGGGAGGGGCACTAAGGGGGGACCTGCTGGGGTGAGCACTGGGTGTCCCGTGCAGGTGATGAAGCACTGAATTCGACACCTGAGACCAATATTGTTCTGTATGTTAACTCAAATGTTTTTTAAAAAACACAGAATTCAGCAACGAAAAAAATAAAAATCAAATCAAACACGCCTTTCGTCCATCTACGGAGACCCTGTAATGTGGGAGGCCTTTCTTTCCTGCCCGTGAGGCTACAGTTTACTTACTTAAGTCCTGATCGCCGAAGGAACCATTTCTTAAGCAATCCTGCCAGTGAAGGCAGTGCAGGAAGTCCATCAAAATATCTCAAACCAGGATTCAAAAATAATAATAATAACGATTTAAACTTTGTATTATATCTTTTCCTAAAAGATTCAAATTCCTAACCAAACTTTCCCTCTGATATAGGCTCAGCGCATACCCCAAAAAAAGATACCCTAGAATTTGCCTCAAAGAACTTCAAGAGGCAGAAAAAAAAGTTTTTTTGATAAATAACGTTGATGTTTTTAGTTGTAACATACCTACAGTCTTTAAAAGAATCCAGAAAAGCACAAAGGTGCTCTGCTCAGTGCAGGTGTGTGAGCAGGAGGTAGGGCTGGGGGGGGGAGGCAGCCTGTAGCTCTCACCATGGAGGACTGAGGGGGAGGCAGAGGGGGTCAGGTCAACACCAGGTTAGAGAGGGCAGGGAGGGGAGACAGCCAGGAGCTCCTGAGGATGGAGGGGAACAGCCCAGGCTGCAGAGGGGCAGAGGAGGAAGGGGGGAAGGGCTGGGGAGGAGGTGAGGTTTGAGATGAGGGGAGACAGCAGAGGCTGGGGGGGAGTGAGGAGACACTTTATGGCCTGGGCTACCTGTGAGAGTGAGAACAGGCAGGGGCTGAAGTGAGTGAGACATGAAAGCACAAATCGCGTCTGAGAAACAACTCTTTCAGCCTAAAGGGAGTCTGAAAGGGGCTCTTTGAGCCTAGAGAGGATAAAGGAAACACTAAAGGCCTCGAGGATAGAGACAACAAGGCTAGAGAGGATAAAGGGGAGTGCTGGAGCTACCTGAGGGATAAAGAGAAGCCTGCTCAACAAACTGGGGAGAGGAAGGATAAAGGGAACAACAAGAGAACTAGAGAGATGAGAGATATGTAATGCTCTGAAAACTAGGACAAGGAACTCTTAGCTCAGGAGCTAGAGAGGATGAAAGGAACAGAGCCTAGAGGATAAAGAGAGACAACAAGGGCTGGGAAGGGATAAAGGGAAGACTCTAACAGAGGCTTCAAGGGGATAGAGAGACTCATATAGAGCCTGAGGGATAAAGGGAACTATAAGGCCGAGGGATCGAGAGAGGGTTTTTTCTTTCTCAGGCTAAGAGGATAAAGGGAGAACTCTTTCAGAACCGGGAGGATAAAGGAAAACAACTCCAAAACTCTCGAGGATCAAAAGTCGCGCCTGAGCTAGAGAGGATAAAGGGGAAGGGCTCAGCTAAAGGTGAAAGAAACAACAAGACCTAGAGAAGATAAAGCGACAATAACAAGAATAGAGGATAAAGGGAGAAACAACAGAACTGAGAGGATGAGAAACAACTCTTAACAGGAGAAGGAACCTATGGGATAAAGGAAGACAACAAGGGCCTGGAGAGAGGATAAAGGAAGTCACTTTCTGAGAGCTGAGGGGGGGATAAAGGAACATGGAGAGGATAAAGATGAAACATAACAGAACTAGGGGATAGGATGCTCAGGAGTTAAAATTGGAGTGAAAGGGGAGACCCAATAGGGGTTGAGTCTGGGATGGATAAAGGGAAACAGGTTGGCGTCGAATGAGGAGGCACAAGGCCTGGGGGATAGGGGAGACAACAACAGGGCTGGGGATGTGAGAGACTCTTTCTCAGGCTAGGGGGATAAATGTGAGAGATTTTTCTTTCTGGGAGCCTAGAGGGGAAGTGAAGAGAGAGAGCGACAAGAGCCCCTGAGAGGATGGTAGTGACTCTTTCAAACTAAGAGGATGAAAGGGAAACAACAGGAGCCTAGAGGGGATAGAGATAACAAGAATAGAGAGATGAGAAGACTCTGTTCCCTAGAGGATCAAAGAAATGCTCTAGAACTAGGGGAGGATCAAAGGGAAGACTCTATAGGAGCCTAGAGGATAGAGACTCTCTATGCTCTAGAGCTAGAGAGGATCTGAGAGACTCTTTAGGAGCCTAGAGATGTGAGGCCGAGCTCAGGAGGAGCCTAGGGGGATAAAGAGGCGATATAGAGGATAAAGGGAGAACAACAAGGCTAGAGAGAGAGGATAAAGGGAGAGTGCTTTCAGGAGCTGGGGATGAAAGAGAGAGGGCTCATGGGAGCTAGAGGGATGAGGGAACAACAGAGGGCTAGAGAGGGATCGAGGAGACAACAGAACTAGGGGGGGGATGAAAGCTCTATAGAATAGGAGGAGGAGGATAAAGGGAGGCTAACAAGAACTGAGAGTCATGGAAGACATAACAGAACTGGAAGGGATAAAGAGAAAGCATAAGGCTAGAAGGATAAAGGGGCTCTAATAATAGAACTAGAGGATAGAGAGGGAGACTCTTTCAGGCAGCCTAGAGAATGAAAAGGGAACAACAAGAGCCTAGGATAAAGGAAGGAACTCAGGCTAGCCAGTGAGAGAGCAACAGAACTGGGGATGAAAAGCTCTGGAGGCTAGAGGATAAAGGGAGAAACAACAAGCCCTAGAGAGGATAGAAAAGAACAACAAGACTACAGAGAAGTCAAGCGACAAATAACAGAGCCTAAAATTGAAAAGCGACAACAAGACTGAGAGATCATAGAACAACAAGGCTAGAGATGAGGGGGAACAACTCTTTCAGGCTGAGGGGAGTGAAAGGCAACAGAGACTGAGGATGGGAGAACAACTCATAACAAGGGGGATCAAGAGACTCTTTCCTGAGTGGGGGGAGTCAGGGCGACAGAGTTCTGGGGAGGTGAGGCGTGTCTTAACAGGCCTAGGGGGATTGAGGGAGACAACAAGAATGAGAGGATAGAAACGGGGCTGGGGATGTGGGAGACAACTTGGAGCCTGGGGGATAGGGAGACTCTTTCAGAATAGAGAGAAGTGAGGAGAGCAGCAAGGGTGGGAGTGGAGTGAGAACAACAGACTGAGAATAGGGATAAAGGGAGGCTTGCTGCTGGGGCTAGAGGGGGATAAAGGGGAACAACAGACTGTCTGGGGAGTGAGGAGACAATAACAGACCGGGGGGGTGAGGAAAGTGCTGGAAACAGAGGATAGGGAAACAGCAACAGGGCTGGGGATGAGAGACACCAAGACTGGGGGGGGGTGAAGTGCCAGCAGGGCTCCCAGGGGAGTGTGAGAGGAGCGACAGCAAGAATGGAGTGGAGAGGAGCAGGACAGCAGGAATGGGGAGAGAAGGCAGGGAGGGCAGGTGAGAACTCCCGGGCTCCAGCAAGAGGAGGAACAGGAAGGAGAGGACGACCACTGGACGACGAAGAGCCTGACCCAGCAGACCTGCCTACAGCATGAGACAGGCAGCAACAACAACAGGGCCCATCTCAAGTTGGAGAAGGTGACACTCCGGCGTCCGAGCTGCACCTGAGGAACATCTGGTTGCCGTCATCCAGAAAAGAGAGGGTGTGTTGAAAGCCCTCCTGGGCAGCCGTCCCCACTGCAGCTGGACGGCTCGGCAGGAGGCCAATGGATTCTGGTGGTGGTGAGGAGGAGGCCTTCCAGACGTCCCCAAACCCCCCTCCGCCAGCGGCAGCAACCGACGCTGCCGGGACACGCAGGGGTCAGGGGTCGCCACCCGGCCAGCGCAGCTCCGCTCACACGCCGCCGCCGGCCGCTCCGGCTTAGCGGTTGCCAGGGCCAGTCGCTATGACGGCGGGACGGTTTTACGATCGCGGAGCCGCGCGCGCGCCATATATGATGGACGACCTCTGGGTGCGCGCACGCGCGTGCTGAAGAACCGCCGTCGCTTCGCGCCTTGCGGCTGCTCGTCATTCACCGCCGCCAGAGTAAAAAGCTTTCGGTCGCAAAAGCCGGAAGCGGTTGGAAGCCGGTCCACGCGCGGTCCTCAGTGAAGCCGCGCCCCAGTTTCGGAGGGGCTGGGCCGCGAGACCCCGCTACAGCCACCGGCCGCCACGCTTGGAGGAGGGACGCTCCCGCCAAGTCGCTTTGACCGAGGACAGTGGTGGAGTGCAGCGGTAACTGCAGCATTGCATCTACCCCTCCTCCCTGTGTCGCCCATTTCCCACCCCTCTTTATTAACGAACTTCAGGAAAACGTGCAGAGGAGAGTTTTCGGCGCGCAGTGGGACTACTTGACTTGCGGCCACCTGTGACACCAGCTGGCTAATCTTTGTAAACACAGCCAGAATCTGAATGTCTCCTGGGACGATGGGGCATTTATCGTTTCTCGCCGTGGCATCATTGTGAACTTCAAATTCACTGCTGCTCATGATTTTGTGAATCTCAAAAAATTATCTTCCAGACACTGAGCCCAGTGGGCCCTGCCTTCCCAGAAAGCTTATTTTGAAAGCTCTATCTCAGGGGAACAAAAGCAGTTGATTTTTTTTTTTTTTGCATTCAGGAGTCACAACTTCCTGCTAAAACTATATTATTTTATCATTGCAAAGAGGGTCTTTTGATCTGCTGAGCATCTTGCTTAAGATTAGGGAGTGCGAACTAAAGACAGCTGAACTGCTGTGCCAGATGGTGGGAGAGAGGCGTCCATGAATTGGGATTCTGGTCACTGAATGGGGAAAAAATCCAGACAAGAACCCAAGGTGACTGACTAGCCAAAAAAAGGATTTTGAAAGCGAAAGTGGCTGGTATGGATACAGAGATACCCGCTCTGCAGCGGGCGTTATGACCCTTAACAGGGTCTTCAGGAAAGTCACCACTACTCACAAATGCTTGGTCTGGAGGAATTGTTTTGCTGGAAACAGAAACGGTTGGATTTAGCATCCATGACAACGTGGTAAATGTAAAGGCAGCAGGTGTAGCGACAGGAGTCAGGAAAGCAGTTGAGATCCTACGAGTGCTACCCTTCCAGAAACTTGTGGGACTCTTGGGTGGGCTTTGGACTTCCACGAGATAGGAAATTGGAGTGTGAGTGTAGTTAAACCCGGATGTCCAGAAACATAGAAACTCCAGCTGACGCGTAAACCCTGTGAGGATAGGAATTTTGTATGTCTTGCTCACTGCTCTGTACCTAGAATTAGGCATAGAGTGGAAAGGTCCCTGTACTCCTGAAGCTTCAAAAAGGAGGAAGGAATCTCAGAGATAATTAACTTATACAAAGCCACAGAAATGGTTAGCTGTAGAACCAAGATTCATATCGAGCTCCAACTCCAAACGCATCTCTAGGCACGACGCCACAGTGGTACGCAGCCAGCTATCCACCAGTATCCATTGTCTCCAGCCACAGCTAAGTAGCTACTACCAGGGCACTCCACTCTCTGTTGGGCGTCCCACTCTTGGTTTGACTCTGATCATGATCTCACAGTTCAGTGAGTTCCAGCCTGCGTTGGGTTCTGTGCTGCTAATGCAGAGAATGTTTGGTTCTCTCTCTCTCTTTCTGCCCCTCCCCTGCCCCTTGCTCATGCTGTGCTCATGCTGTCTCTGTCTCTCTCAAAAATAAATAAACTTCAAAAAAAAAAGAACTAGCCAGGTGTGGCCATAATGTAACTCTCATCAGCAGAATGCGGCCAGAAGCAATGTGTGCCATTGACAAGGGAAGTTTCAAAGAAGGGAGTGTGCCTTCAACTTTGGCCAGCTGGATACAGACAACAAAGCCGTAAGAGATGACCGAACCACAAACCAGTAGGACCTCAGGGCTCCTGGCTCCGTGTGGAGTAAAGCCAGCAGCTGTTAAGTAAGCAAGAAATAACCTTCACTGTGTTCGAGCCATTTCACATTATATTTATGCGGATCTGTTTTTTTAGAGTAACGTAAGCCACTCTAATCAATAGAGTAACTGATCTCAGCAGTAGGGTGCTATTTGTTTGTTTGGGGTTTTGTTTTCTTTTGTTTATATGTTTATTATGAGAGCATGAGGGAGAGAGAGAGAAGCTCAAGCAGGCTCCGAACCCGCAGCATGGAGCCCAACGTGGAGCTTGATCCCAAACCAAGAGTTGGGCACCCAACTAACTGAGCTACCTATGTACCCCCGTTTTTTTTTAATTTTATGTAGGACATTGGTTTAGTAGTTGGCTAGCAGGTAGCATAAAATGTGAAGTGGAGGACAAGGGACAGGACCTTTCTGAGCTAAAATTTTCTGATTTTGTTCTATATTTGTATTTTTCAAACATCAGTTCTTTTTTTTTTTTTTTAATTTTTTTTTTTTCAACGTTTATTTATTTTTGGGACAGAGAGAGACAGAGGATGAACGGGGGAGGGGCAGAGAGAGAGGGAGACACAGAATCGGAAACAGGCTCCAGGCTCTGAGCCATCAGCCCAGAGCCTGACGCGGGGCTCGAACTCACTGACTGTGAGATCGTGACCTGGCTGAAGTCGGACGCTTAGCCGACTGCGCCACCCAGGCACCCCTCAAACATCAGTTCTTAAAGGCTGTTGCCCTTTGGAATCTGGAACCATATCAATGATTCGACATTTCGTACTCAGCTACGTTAAAAGCCGTTGGTTATCTTGTACTCTGAATGGATTTTTTACCTAGGCACGGTTTCATAACATCACACATCGGTCATTTGGAAAATACTGGTTCACTGAGCTATGAGGATCTTCCAAATGTTGATACGTTTCATAACACAATATTAAAACAATCACATGCATTAGTATACCACTCAGCTCACAAGTCTCTATGTCTGAAGAGGTTGTTAGGTTTACAACAGAGAATGTAACTTTTCCAAAATTCTAATTTTTTTAATTTCTTTTTTTTTAATATGAAATTTATTGTCAAGTTGGTTTCCATGCAACACCCAGTGCTCCTCCCAACAGGTGCCCTCCATGCCCATCACCCACCCTCCCCTCCCTCCTAACCCCCATCAACCCTCAGTTTATTCTCAGTTTTTAAGAGTCTCTTATGGTTTGGCTCCCTCCATCTCTAACCTTTTTTTTTTTTCCTTCCCCTCCCCCATGGTCTTCTGTTAAGTTTCTCAGGATCCACATAAGAGTGAAAACATGGTATCTGTCTTTCTCTATGTGACTTATTTAGCATAACACTCTCCAGTTCCATCCACGTTGCTACAAAGGGCCATATCTCATTCTTTCTCATTGCCACGTAGTATTCCATTATGTATATAAACCACAATTTCTTTATGCATTCATCAGTTGATGGACATTTAGGCTCTTTCCATAATTTGGCTATTATTGAAAGTGCTACTGTAAACGTTGGGGTACAAGTTTCTAATGTTTGCATGCAAACTTGAATTTTATCATCGGCAATGAAAACTGGCAGTTGTTTTCCTTGAAATAACAGCCTTAAACCGTAAGAGACTCTTACCACCGGAAAACAAACAGGGTTGATTGAGGGAAGAGGGTGGGGGGTTGGCTAGATGGATGATGGGGGACTAAGAAGGGCCCTTGTTGGGATGAACACTGGCTGTTGTAAGTGATGAATCATGAAGTCTACTCCTGAAACCATTACTACGCTATATGTTAACTAACTGGAATTTAAATAAATTTTAAGAAGATAGCCTTATTAGAGAATGCATTTTTGAGAAAAATGTCTGCTAAAGGCTCAGTCTCGATAACCAGAGCTTTTCTGCCATAAATGGCCTTGTGTGAATACAGCTGCTGGTTCTGATCAGGACTCCAGGCCCAGGCTCCTTCCTGCAGGCAGATCGCGGGTCACTGAGCCACCCGCGTGCCTTGTGTGTGCTTCATCTCATCACCTAGGACATGAAATGACTTGTCCTCAAGCTTTGGGACTCAGTCAAGATGGTAATCTTTACCCCTTTATTAAGGAACTCTTAAGGGAAACGGGGATCCTTTCCTGTGCATGCATGGAGGTGGAGACCGGATGGCTTCTAGAACAGTTGTGTGCCCCAGTCTCCATCTGGGCCAAGGTGCTGGCAGTTTTAGCAGCCGCATTAGTTTTCCAGTGTTTCATCACCAAGAACTGCAAAGCTAGCAGCTTAAAACAACACCTCTTTTAGCGTGAAGTCCCACTTGTCAGTAATGGGGAAACTGCATACATGGATGTCCACTAAGGATCTCCTGTAGCTTAAATCAAGACATGGGCCGGGCTTTCTCCCCTGCAGCTTGGGGGTCCTCTCCCAAGTTCAGACCATTGAGGCAGAATTAAGTTCCTTGCAGTTGTGAGACTCATTCCCCATTTCTTTGCTGGCTGTCAACTGAGGTTCCTTTCAGCAGGTGGAGGCCGCCACATTCCTCACGTCTGGCTTCAGAGCCAGCCAGAGAACTTTCCCACCCATCAGTTCTCCCATCACACCTCTTGTAACAGAAAAGAGGCTCATTCCTTTTAAGGGTTCACCTGATTAGACCAGGCCCAGTGGATGACCTTTATGAACTTTCAGTCAACGGATTAGTAAATTAAGCGTGGGAATGACAGCCCATGCTGTCTGCAGGTGTGGCGCCCCATCTCAAGGTCAGAGGGCTGCACAGAGTGTACCCACCAGGGAGTGGAAACCTTGGGGCCCCTTCCGAGTTGAGCCTGCCTCAGCTACCCTTGCTTTTGCACCACCGGTGAAAATGTCAAGCAGTTAAAGAGGCATAGAATGTCCCACCTTGTGAAAATTGCTTGATCTCCCAAACCCCTGAAGATGTCTTAAGTTCCCCCCGGGGTCCAGATGATCTCTAACGGATCTACATCTTTTCTACGGTGGTGACTGCAGGAAAACGGGCTTTTTCTGTTTTATCCATTATCTTTGACAAATATTGGGTAAATTATTTATCATGTTAGTTATAAAAATTGCTCCCTTAGGGCGCCTGGGTGGCTCGGTCGGGTGGCCGGCTTCAGCTCAGGTCATGATCTCGTGGTCCGTGAGTTCAAGCCCCGCGTCGGGCTCTGTGCCGATAGCTCAGAGCCTGGAACCTGCTTCTGTTTCTGTCTCCCTCTCTCTCTGCCCCTCCCCCATTCGCACTCTGTCTCTCTCTGCCTTTCAAAAATGAATAAATGTTAATTTTTTTAATTGCTCCCTTTATTAAATATATTCTTTATACTTACCCAATGGAAAGAAAGAATTCCATGGGATTGTCAGACAATTTTTTGTAGTAAGGCAGTAATCATCTCGTTCGTGTTTTTAGACCGTGCTGGGGGGAACATACTGGAGAGATGTCATTTCAGAACCTTGCCTTCACACTTACAAAGGCTGAAACTCACTCTTGGGCATAGTCCTCACATATTTCAATCACCAGCAGAGAGAAATGTACACTCTAATAGGACACTCAACACATACTGAAATCTAACTCACCTCTCTGCATGTGTATGTGTCCCTATGGAAGACAAGAAATTCTGTTTTTTCTGAATGTTTCT